TCTGTGTGGAGTTTGCACATTCTCCGTGTCTGCTTGGGTTTCCTCCAGTGCTCCAGTTTCCTCCCACAGTCCAAAAGCAGGTTAGGTAAAATAGCCAGGCTAAAATTCCCCATCGTGTCCATGAATGTGCAGGCTAAGTGGATTGGCCAGCTAAATTCGCATAGACACCAGGGATGGAATCTTGCAGAAAGTCGTGGTAGTTAAATTAAAATAGCAATTCATTTTATCCAGTATGTTTAAACAATACGCCATCTGCTATATTTTAGCACTACTTTGTTGTGTAAGAAGTTTGAGACGAGGGAAGTGGAGTTGGTACAGAGCCTCTGTAAATTTCTGCTGCAGTGTGCTGTGCACAGAGTCTGGTCACAGCATTTATTCAAGAACAGACTGATGGTGAACTGCTGATTACTCTTACTAAATTGACTGACCAGTACTCCCGAGTGATTAATTGCCAGGTTTTCTTTTTAAAAGATCGACTGGGATTTCTCATTTAATGAATCAACTTTCAGGCTCATTTTTCACCTAACCTGCACATCTTTGGACTGTGGGAGGAAACAGGAGCACCCAGAGGAAACCTAAACAGACACAGAGAGAATGTACAAACACCACACAGACAGTCACCCAAAGGTGGAACTGAACCTAGGTCCCTGGTGCTGTGAGGCAGCAGTGCTAACCACTGAGCCACCACAGCCTACGATAAGAGAGCAGGCAAACTGGGCCTGTATTCTCTTGAGTTTCGAAGAGTGACATGATCTTATTGAAATCTACAAAATGATTAAAGGACTAGACAGGGTGTGTACAGGTAAGCTATTTGCCCTGGTTAGTGAGTCTAGAACCAGGAAGCAAACTTGAAAACTGAAGGGCATGGTAATTTTGGACTGAGATGAGGAGAAAGATTTATAATCAGGGATAGTGAATTTTTAGAATTTTCTACTGCAGAAGGCTCTGGAAGCTCAGAATATGTGTAAAGTAGATTTTGATGCCTTTTTGATTATCAATGGAATGAAGGGTTATGGGACTGGTGTCAATAAAAGGCATTGAAGTGTTTGATCAGGCCTGATTGCATTAAATGGGGAGTACACTTGATGGACAGAATGGTCTACTCCTGTTCCTATGTCCCTATGTACTGTTCAATCAGCTGCCCCAAATGGGATCAGCTAACTCAGAACTGTAGCTAACAGAGCTATGTAAGGAGCCATTAAGGTAGAATCATAGAAAATACAGAGAGGGTCTCAGGTCCATGGTTTAGAATCACAGTCAGAGTGAATCACAAATGGGCTCCTTTCAGCAACATGATTTTCGTGGAAGAGATGTGGAAGCCACAATAGAGATACTCTGTCAAACACCCTGTACACTGTGTTTCAGCAGACTCCAATAGAAATTCACTTAACCATTGGGAAAATGTCTCAATAAGTTACTTAATGTGTATTAACCTGCTACAATTAAAATCCAGCCCCTGAGCTTCAATCATCCCTACTGTAACAGTAATACAAAGAACCATTTTCTTGGTAGAATCATATAACGAAGAATGAGACCATTACACCCATCATGTCTGTACCATCCAGACTGTCGCACTACTTTGCCCATGTGCTTATAACATCTCCTGCGTTGAGTATTTTGCTAATGAACTTTCAAATGTTGGGTACATGAATAGGAAGAGTTTACAGGGATTTGGGCCAAATGCTGGCAAATGGGTCTAGATCATTTTAGGATATCTGGTCTGCATAGATGAGTTGGACTGTAGTGTCTGTTTCTGTGCTGTATCATTCTATGACTTTACGAATCTAAATTCTTCTGTTAAATTTGCTTCCAAGGCCCTTTCAATGGCAATGCATTCTGCAATAATTCACAATTCAGGAGTATTCAACAACTGTGTTCCTGAATTAACCAAAATCTCATTCCAGAGACATTTGAGCATAAAGTGTAGTACCAGCTTGTCATCATTCCCATGGTAGATAGTTGGCATCAGTGGTAGCCCCCAGTGCCATGTTATACCATCATTACCAAAACAGTGAGCCATGTAATGTCCACACCTTCAAGGAGAGAAATCACAATGTTTTGTTGTAAAAAGTGGTGTGTGGTGGCCATTGGATATTCCACACACTTTTTTTCTTAAAAGTGGCAGACTACAGATGGAATTGAAAACTGAAAGTCTCAACATGACATTCAAGAAACTGCACAGCATGTTTCAGGCAGCGGTCCACTGTGAGTGAATGTTGAAACAGCACAAATGGCTTGGATAACTGATTTATTGTGTTTTCAAACCCAATCCCAATCAATAATATGTAAATGTTTACAATAATTCTAATAAAGTGGTAAAAATAAACCATATGCTCGATGCTATAAAGATAACCATTAACAGATGAAAAATGAACGACCTAATTGAAATCAGCAGGCTTAAGGGAACTATCAAAGGGCAGTGCTGATTATATTTGAGGGACTTTCAGGAATAAATGCTCAGACTTTTAAAAATCTTGGACGTCAGTGACTTTGAGAGCTGCAATTATCTGATAATAGAGTACAGTTCACAAAAACGCTGCCTGTTGCAACACAAACATGTGCACTTTGTACTGTCAATGTCAGGACTTCTATGCTATTGAGTTTAGCCATTTAATTGACCAGCATTTGAAACTAATATCTATCTGCCCATCAGCATCAATGCATGCCACCAGTTATCATCTGGAGCTGAGCAGTCACTTGTAAAAAGAGCAGGAAAAGAAAGCCATATTTCACTTAGTGACAGTCCATAGTAATAATGGACTGAGAGTGCGTGGCATCTAGAACCTTATCTTTCAGACTCTTTTTCAGTCCTTTGTTACAGTGTATGTGTTAGTTGACAAAACAAGTCACATTTATACAGTACCCTCAGCACAGGATTCTAAGGATTTCACAGGAGCATTTTGAAACAAAGTAGGACAGTGAGCTACATAAGGAGACATTAAGTTAGAATCAAAGAAAACAGAAGCAGATGTAGGCTGTTCAAGAACGCTGTGCACTTCATTATGAACATGGCTGATCATCTAATTTAGTACCCTGTCCCTGCTTTCTCCCCATATGTCTTGATTTGTTTAGGGCAAAGAAAAATGGATCTCCTCTTGAAAATATCCAATGATTTGGCCTCGACTGCTTTCTGTGGCAGAAAATTCCACAGGCTCACCACCCTCAGGGTGAAGAAATTTCTCTTCATTTCAGTCCTAAACGGCTTACCCCATAACGTTAGACAGTGACCCCTGGTTCTAGAGTCTGCAGTCGTCAGGAACATCCTTCCTACACTTACCCTGTTAGAATTTTATAATTTTCAATGAGATTCCCCCCACCAATTCTTTTAAACTCTAGTGAAAATAGGCCTAACTGATCCAGTCCCTCTTCATACATCAGTCCTGCCATCCGATGAATCAGTCTGACAAATCTTTGTTGCACTCCATTCATTGCCAGAACATCGTTAATCAAGTAAGGAGACCAAGACTGTGCACAGTACTGTAGATGTGGTCTCACCAAGGCCCTGTATAATGGCTGCAAAATGATAAAAGCTCAGTTGAAGAGATGGGTTTCAGGAAGCATTCTAAAATAGCAAAGTAAAGTAGAGAGACGGAGAGGGAATTCCAGAGCTAAGGGCCTTGGAGGCTGAGTGCACAGACGGAGAGGGAATTCCAGAGCTAAGGGCCTTGGAGGCTGAGTGCACAGCTAACCAAGGGTGAAATGATTAAATCAGTGATACTAAAGAAGCCTCAGTTTAGATTTGCAGTTAGAACTAATTCACAGAGCAATGCAGAATTGGGGGAGATTATGGAGATTGGGAAGGGAGAAACCATGCAGGGATTTGGAAAAAACGATGAAAATTTTAAAATTGAGACATTGGAGTCATTATAAGTGAGCTCAGGAATGATAGCTGAACTGAACTTGATGCAAGATAAATCATAGGCAACAGAGTTTTCAGTGAATTCAAGTTTACGGAGGGTAGAGTGGTGGAGACCAGCCTAGAGTGTGTTGCAATAGTCATCCACAGATAACAAACACATGAATGCGGGTTTTAGCAGCAGATGAGCAATGTCAGGGAGTGTTACAGAGGTGGAAATAGATGGTGTTAGTGATGGCATGGATATTTGTTCGAAAGTTCATCTTGGGATCAAATGTGCCATCTAGGATGTGAATAAGCTTATTTAGACAGAAGGAGAGGCACATGGAGACAGTAAGAACTGCCGATGCTGGAGTCAGAGATGACGCAGTGTGGAGCTGGAGGAACACAGCAGGCCAGGCAGCATCAGAGGAGCAGGAAAGTTGACATTTCGGGTCGGGACCCTTCTTCAGAAATATAGTTGGCTAGCTAGGGAATGGAGTTTGGGGCAGAACAGAAACCAACTTGAGTGCTCCCAAAATTTAATCCGTGATAATTCCTAATCATCCAGTAGTGTATATCGGATTAAACAGATTGACAATTTTACAACTGTAGGGCATCAAGAGAATTGGAGGCAAGATAGAGCTGGGTGTCATCAGTGTACATGTGAAAATTGATGCTATCACTAGATTATTATTATCCTTTGCTTTCCAGGAAGCTCATATTGATACAATAAACTGCAGGTGAAAAATACAAGGACTTTATGATTATTGTATGAATCCATGGTTTATGCATTGAAACTCAGACCTGTTGTTAAACCTGATTCCAGAGACACAGAACAGTGCTTTAAAAGAAGGCATAGCAGGAGTCAGGACGTTGAAGATGTAATAACATTTCGTCTAAAGCATGATAGGGAATCCTTAGCATTTCATCGATATGTGTGTCTGTAATACCCTGCAAGTTGTAGAAACAAGCTGAACTCCTCTGGTGGTCTCACAGTGAGGTAGCAGTTATATTACCACAAGGCAGACAACTGGACTGTGAAAGTACTTATCCCCTGGGATAAAATTTGGAAAAATGTGTTGAAGTCTCTCCTCCTTGATAGTATACTGACATTTCCTGCCTTGCTTTATGAAAGTAAATATTTTTTCCATATTCACTGCAGATAGGTGAATAAATAAGTGGATTTTCTTCACACCCCACAGAAACGGAAATTGATGAACCTCCTTTGTAAAGTAGGTGAGTGATTATTTTTTATCTTTACTGTCCGTGTGATAACAAGTTTTATGAATGTGACAGTGGAGTCACCACATAGTGTGGGACTGGACTTGTGTTAGTCAAACCAAGGTGATAGTCTCCCTTCTTTGTAAGGTATTATTGAGCCAGAAGGTTTTTTTGGGTGATAATCTGACAGATTCCACCTCTGGTCCAGGAGCTGCGTTCTACTACCCAGTTAGCTCAGTTGGCTGGACAGTTGGTTTGTTGGGCTAATAGTGTGGGTTCAATTCCTGCATCAGCTAAGGTTACCATGAAGGACTCTCCTTCTCAACCTCTCCCCTCCCCTGAGGTGCGATGCTCATCAGGTTAAATCACCACCAGTTGTCTCTGTCTAATGAGAGAGCAGCCGTATAGTCAGGTACTCAAAATCTGACCACCTCCTGAACATAAATTTCCCATAATTAGTAATCCCGACCCCAGGAAGCAGAAGGGCAGGGCTGCTGGTAGCCATCCCGTGCAGGGATTCACCTTTGAGGGAATCCAGTCAGACCCATCTCCAGGAGTACTTCATGTTATGAACATCCTGGAGGTTTCAACATGTGAGCAAACCTCCCACTGCCCTGACTGGCTCACCCAGTCTGACAGCCTCTTCCTTTTGTCTCCGAAAGATTTTACAAATAACAATCAACCTGCACATTAGATGCAAAAAGACCCACCAGTGTTTTGATGCCTCTATGATTTTTCTCCCACGTTACTTGCTGAGTATCCAGCAAATTGATCAAATTCCTGGAGACTCCAGGACAATCCCGCAGTATTGGACATCCCATGCTGTGCCCACATGAATAGAATTGTCCACTATGCAATGCTCATGAATATTAATTCGTGACCTGCAATGAGATGATGAATTGCTTAGGGCCTATGATCCTGTGAGCTAATTGGCCTGGAATGGGAAAGCAAGTCCGTGTTGTATCAATTTGAAATAGACTGTGAGCTATGACATCCCCCATAGTGCTTCATCTGGTTTTAATACACATTCATCAATGCTGGCAGCTTGTAGCCTGAATTTTTAAAAATCCTTGCAAATTCACTTTATTTTCGAACACCGTGCTTAAACATAACTCAATTCCAAAATCACAGTCACCAAAAAAAACTTCAGAAATATTGAAATGCTTCGAACATTACTCACTTGTTGCCAGACTGTAAGCGTCACAATTATAGTCAGTCTGAGTTTTAACTTGTATTGAATAAAACACAAAATCTTTGAAAATCGATAATAATCATGGTTGACCATTACGAGAGAGTGAAAAATTGGAGCCATATTCTTTGGGAATGGGGAGGCTCAGGAGGGATGCAGTTGACTGGTATAAAACAGTGGAAAGAATTGATAAAAAGAAGGAAAAATCTTTTGCCATTTTCTGTGTAAAGTTTAGATGGGGTAATGCATATTTAACATGGATTTTAGATAAGTCATTTCTCCAGGAAAAGCTCAATGTAGCTCTCTGAAGGATTGGGCAGAATTTTCCCAGCCCCTGCACGACGTGGGAAATGTGGAGCCATTTGGGAAAATATGATGCGATCGGAAAAATGAGATTCTCAGTGGCAAAAGAAAAAAGTCTGATTTTCCACTCGAGCATTTAGTGGCGAGACGAGCTAGAGCATTGAGAGGCTTATTTGTATGTATTTACATCTCATCAGAACTTATTCTCACCTCAGTAATATGCAGTTTGTTATTCCCCAAGGCAACGGAGAGAAAATAGACAGCAATAATTTCCGATCCGAGGGCCAGAGCAAGTGCCTAACAGCTCCAGTTCACTGCTTAATCCTCCAGGCTGCCATCTTGATTGATGTTCCCCAATAACCCAGGGTAGACTCCACAGACAGCGCGCAACTGTGATGATGCTGTCATTTTAAGAGGTTATTTTGTCCTTTTTTGAAGAGAGGTTCCAAGGTAGAAGTGTGAACTAGCTTCTGAGGACCTCTTGAATAAACAGCTTGGGAGGTCTTGGATTTTTTTTTAATAGCCTGAATGGGTATGGCCAGCTCTCTCCTATCCAGATTTCTGGATTTTGGTGTTTTCAGTAACATCAGAAGCCTTTGGGGTCTCAAAAGAGTTGGAACCTTCAGTGAATGTCTCCTAGCTGCTACCCTCTCTGAATTTTCTCGTGATGACTTTTTCCTCCTGGATTGGAGAACTGCATGTGAGAATCTGTGTCTGAATTTGCATTTTTGCCAAGGGGTGTGTTTATGGGTTGTTACTATACTAGAATAGTTAATTAGCAATAGGTACTATATCTATATTTCTGTTAAGTTTTCCAATAGAGTTAAGTTATTTTAAATTCCTCTTTCTTTGGTTGTATTTTTAACTACAGTGTTTAAATAAATTGTGTTTTGCTTATCTTCGAGTCATTTGGCCAGTCACAATGCATCTGGAACACAGTACCTGACATGTACCTTTTATAATAAGGAAAAGTTAGGGTCAAGATTACATTGTTAAAATATTTTGAGGGTGTCTGGCCTGGGTCATAACACACCCAATTCATGGACATTAGCATCAGACATGTATCAGACTCACTGCATCATCATGGCACATCTCCGTGATACAGTTCACTACTTCAGTGTTGTACTCTGGATCTCACTGTCACCTCTCATTGGACTGCTGCTGCGAGGACACTCTCTGCACAGGGACAACATCCACCTAATGGATTGGACCAAGTTGCATCTCAGAACTTGTCACCTACTCTCTAAACACTCATTCACTTTGGGCCTACTTGGATGCTCATAGCATGTCTGCCTTGCCCTCTGCCTCAATCAGAACTTACAGGCTCACACAGTTCTTCTGTCTTGCCTTGTCTTTTGGTGCAGACTCAAAGCCAGGCAGCTTGTCCTGGCTGTCAGCAATGATAGTCAAAGGGTTGGGCACATTGCTGTACAGCTCCATATGTCAATGTCCCATCTGCAGCATGTGGCAACAGTCAAGATGGACTGTTGTCGGTCAGTGGGTCATGCCATAGCCAATCAAGGACAGCTTCCAATCTCAGTCCAGCAGCTTGGACACAGTCAGTTACTTTGGACAGTCAAAATCAGAGGTCCTATATCATTGGAGTCTAGGGGATTGGGCCATGCTCCATCCTGCAGGTTTAGTGCAACCAGCCTGGAGATTACTGATAAATCAGTTGGGGAACAGTATAGAGATCAGTCAGGCTGTCATTCCAAGTTGATCAGGTTGGTGGGCCACAATAATTCCATTCACTGATTATCTAGGGACATTATCTGTAGCCATTTCTGTGGTTGGCATGATGGGGCAGTCAGTTGTAGGGATTGGAGGCAGCATGCTGGCATGCAGTGGAGAGAATAGATATGATGTGGGGAACTCAATATGTATGGATGACATACAAAAGTACATTGGAGAACATGGTTTACTGTGGATCATTGATGTTCACCACACCTTGACCTCAGTGGGGGGTCACTATTATAATGACTAAGCCTGTGGGCACGGTGCTCAGTGGATAAAGTGGGAATGTGAAGACTGTAAATGGAAGAGATGGGTAGGAACATGTGGAAGCTTAGAATTGTTGGGGTTGACAGCAAGTGTAAGGAACAAAGAGACATAAAGGTTTGGATGGGTTACTGAGACTGATAGACTGAGCCTGTGACTCAGTTTATGAAGTGTGACACAATGGAAATGGGGAATGGCTGCATCTGAAGGGGGTGGAGTAGGTGTTTTGCTTCCTACTGAAGATAAGGGCTCAACTAGTGAGTTATGTGAGGTCCTTTAAGTGGCAATTGCATTCATCAGGCACTTAAACTAAGCAGGTTAAAGACATTTGTAATGATTGAGTTCTCATGTGACAAGCATGCCCAGTGGTCTAAGCTGCAGGGTTGAGGTTGAAGCCTGTTTATAGGCCTGGGTTCAAATATCAGAGCTGTTCGTGCTAGTAGTCAGTCATTCAGCTTCTTTGGGCAGGCAAGCTCTGTTCCATTTACACACAAAAGCTGCCCTAGTGCAAAGGCAGGCAGAAACATTATCAGGCCACTCTTTTGGCACACTTCGGACTTGCTGCAGAAGTGTATCATAATATGTCTGAACAGGTTGGTTAAAAATACCTTCTGCATGTGAAACACGTGTATTTTCCAACTGCACCAAATTCAAATCCTGGTCTCAAGCTACCTTGACCATGTCATTGCTCATCATAAATTGGTCATAATCATCTCTCTAAAGGAGAAGTAAATGCAGGGAACCTAAAGACTCTGACCTGGGGACTATGTTTCACAAGGTCAATCCCAGGTCTCTCGGTTGCACAAAGACATTCCTCAATGATTTCCTCTCACCTTGGAAGCTTTTGCCAACATGCTCTTATAAGCCTTGTTTGGGTGACATGGCATAGCAGTTGAGGGGACAAGGTCTTAGTAATCCAATTACACTTAGAATCTCCTGCTGTATTTGCATGCCATGATTATGCAGCATATATCAGGATAGGGCACTCCATGTTCAAAATCCATAAATAGGCAAACCATGTCCTATTGTATTGAGGACAATGATAAACATTTGTGACTGATGGGAATGCTGACTGCTCATATTACAATAATATTCCCTGAATTGACATCTAGCCAAAGCTTGATAAAGTTCTGTCCTTTTTAACCTTTAAAAATGATGAAGGTTAAAATGCAATGTCTCACACTCTAGGCTCACATACACTATCACCAAACAAGGATTCAATCCAGATTTAGAAAAAAAAAAGTACAATTACAATTTGGAATTATTTGACCCCCTTTTGTAACAGGCCTGTAGTCCCTTAGATAAATTGATTCTTTTGCTGGAGTGACAGCCTTGAAAAGCAGTAGATTCTCAGTAAACAGTAAGGCTCCTTGTAGTTGAATTGTCTGGAGCTTGGTACGCAGGTGAACTTGAGGGTAGAGCATGGTGGAGGACAGTCCTTCTCCTACTTTGCAGGTACTTGTTTATTAACTTAGCTATATCTTGCCGCTGGTTTGACAGCTTTCAGGTGGTCTTTCTGCTTCAG